TTTAGTACAAACGCTAGTGATCACATTGTGTAACCATACATACTTCAATTGACAAGTGCTATAGAATGTAGGAAATGAGACCTCCTATTAAAGAACTTAGCCACCATGTGACCGTCTCAAAGTTCTGCTTGCATTTCCTTCTAGGGTATCCAAGGATGTGGTAGAAAAGTAAAAAGTATTTCATTGAGCATCCTGCTAACCCAGTGGTTCTCAGTGGAGGGCCAGTTGCTATTTTTCGTCCGCAGAGACAGTAGGCAGTGCCGGGAGGTATTTTTGATAGTTGAGTTAGCATGCAGTGGGTGTGGCCAAGAACATCCCTGATATCCCACAGCTCACAGTTACTTCTTCCCAGCAAAGAGTTGTCTGCTCCAAACTGTTGTCAGCTGGGTGTGGCAGCACACATCTGTGACTCTTGGGAGGCTGAGGCAGGAGGATCCCTGTGAGTTTAAGGCCAACCATGGTCTGCATAATGAAACCCTGTCTGAAAAAACACTGCCGTGCACCATGCTGATCATACTGAAGTCGAGATGTCCTGGGTACAATGATCCACAGGTACTGGTTCAGTGAAGCCAAACTCCAGAACATGGCAGCATCGAAGTCAAGTGGAAGGAATTACTTTTTAAGGACAGTGTGTGTACTGACAAAACTTGAAATGTCATTCGATGAGAACTTGTAAAACAAAGCTTTATGACTGTGGATCATGTTATACTTGGGTTTGGGAGAAGTGCCCAATCAAGTGCTTCTGTGCTTGTTCTCACTGCTTCACATTTAACGGAAAGTGTAATTTCTAACTTCTTACGATTGTCGACATGGTTAATTGACATTATAGGTGAAGATCCAAAAGAACTCATTGGCTAATAAGCCTTCTTACCTCTTTTACCTGTCTATAGCCAGTAATTTAGTCCTTTAGTTTCTTGAGCAATAAATTTATGCAGAGTATTAAAGAGAGGGAAATAATGTACTTAACAAATTGATTAATGAGATTCTAGAAAGGTTTAAGTCAAGATACTTTATTTGCCACTGCTTCTGGTAAAGATGTCCTGATGTACTAACTTTAAAATTAGAATTCACCATCTGCTTTAATTAAGACTAATATAACAAGACTGTCAGAAAAGCCCAATGAAAATTGATTTGAACGTGTACCTAAATGTTTCATTTTATTTTCCCTTTAGCAGTCTCTTAAAATAGCCTCTCAGCCTCAGTTTCCTAACTGTAAAATAAAACACCAGTACTGTCCTTACAGGGTTGCTATAAGGCTTAATTGCCTGAGGGAGATTGTGTGTGTGACAGTGCCCTTAAACTATAATATGATCTATGTACAAGTGTTTCAATATGAAATTTTTATTTCATTCCAATAATATGTGAAGTAGACATGGGTGGATAAAACATTATTCCGAGGAGTTGGGTGTTATATATATTCATATATTCCCAGTTTTGTGAGTCTTATATCCATTTAAATGAAAATTTTATTCTTTGAAATTTCAAATTAAGTGCTATATCTCTCTTGAACAGATAGCCAATTTTTTAAAAAAAAAATAGGCAAAAGATCTGAATTGATAGTTTTCTAAAGAAGATACAGATGGCCAATAAACACATGAAAAAATACTCATAATTTCTAAAAAATAGAAATAGCCCAAATGCCCTGCCCATGAAGTGATGAGTATCTGTTAACTGTTGAATGGATAAAGAAAATGTGATAGATCCGAACAAAGAACCGTTACTGGGAACAAAGAGAAAGTAAGTGCTGGGGTATGTGCTGCTGTGTGCTGACACTGAGAACACTGTGCTGAGTGGAATCAGGCAGTCACAGTGAGGACCACAAACTGATGCCTGCATTTCCGCCAAGTGCCCAGTGTAGACACTGAGAGAGGGAAGACAGATCAGTGGTTGGCTGGGTGGAAGAGGGTTTGGAGATTAAATGGTGATAGCTGAGGGGATGAGTTTCTTTTTGGGGTGGTGGAATGTTTAAAATCAAGATTGGGGATAGCTCCGAAACAAAGCAGTGAAAGTGGTACAGAACTTCAAAACAGGGCAATAGGTGATCAACAGTGGCTACCTCAGTACATCTTGTTACCTTTACAACGATTGTCCATTCCCTCAGACATAGTAAAATTGGATAAAACAAAGCATAATAAAAGCAATCAAAACAGCATTGAATAAAACAAAACAATACATCGGAGTAAAACAAAATAGAACAGTATTGGATTTCAAAAACAAGACAGAAGGAAATCCCCCATATTTACTATATTGCATGCTGTCATCCTCCCAATAGATGCTCAGACTACTGGCCTTAGTCCTCAAAGTCAATCAAATAATACAAGCATTTAGTTGTTTTTGTACTTTAGTTACTGTCAACTCAGCCTGTCCTCAGACCAGCTGGTTGCTTACGGGGAGGTTGGGGAGGGTCTCGATTCTTAGCCTGCAGGCCAGTCCGCTCTTAGGAAAAGCCAACTGGCTTCTCTCTTCCTGGGCCCTGCCTGGTGTGCGCAGCTTACAGGAAGATAGAAGTAGCTTCTTGATGCCCCCCTCCCGGACCCAGCAGAGTCTCTGCTGACTGTCTTCTCGCTTCCTGGGCCCGCATGGTCTGCCAGTTCTCCCATCTTGATTTTCCTTATCAAACAAGTCTGCTTAGGTTTGTAAGATATTCCTTGTTTAACTACTGCATTCTCAGTTCTGTTCCTACAGCTAGGTTGTTAAGTAAATTGGTCACAACGAGAGAAATTGGCTATAGTAGCTACAATATTTAGAACAAAGAAGTGGTCAAAGGAAACTCCAACTTGATGTCTTTGCCTTACATTACATGGAGTAATGTAATGCATAATAGAACATAAAGTTATAGTACTGTATTGTGTAATACAATAGCAAAATTTATATTACTATATAAACAAAGTACAAAAAAGACATTGAGGTTCTGTTAACAAGATGTATTAAACTGTAACCAACCAACCAAAAAAAAAAAAAAAAAACCCAAATACAGTTTGTAAACTTGAGTGACAGTTGTAAGCCTAAACAACATGCCTCTGTTAAGTCAAACAGTAGTTAAATGAGGAATATCTCTATTAGGATTCCATTAACCTGTAGATTTTAACAACATAGAGTCTCTCGGTCTGTAATAGTCTGCTATGTTTGTGTTGGGATGTCCCCTTAAAGCCTCATGCAGTCATGGTGGGGGTACTTTTCAGAGGTGGCTGCACCTAGAGTTTGTGATTGATTCATGCTAGGATTACCCAGGTCGGGTAGCTTGCATACAACATAAGGGATGGAGAAAGAGGCTGTCTCCTTTCTCCCCCTTGTTGCTTTGCGACAGTCTGCCTGCCATGAACTGTTCTCCTCTGCCAGGCTACCCTGTCTTGAGCCAGCTGATTATGGACTGAAACCTCTACATACTGTGAGCTAAATAAACCGTTCTTCCTTTAACTTTGGGTGTCAGGTATTTTTATCTCAGCAAAGAGAGAAACGTAACTAAGACTGTCTCTCTCTTTTTACCTAGATCTTTTATTAATTACTTAAGTTCTCAGCCTACATATATTTTTGTTTTTTAGAGACAAAGTCTCTCTATGTAGTTCAGGCTGTCCTTGAACTCACTGTGTATCTCAAACTGGCCTTCAACCAGTGGTGATCCTCCTGCCTCAGTCTCTCAAATAGTGGTATTATACGCTTGTGCCACTGTTTGGCCAGCATACATATATTTTTGTTTTAGATTCATACCTGCTTATATACTTTTCATTGCTATTATAAATCATTCTTTTAGTTTCCAGTAACAATTTTCATTACTAACACGTGCTTAGTTGCTGTTGAGGTTGCACTTGCTGAGTAGGAGCAGCAGTAGGAGTCCTTTCTCTGAAGCCCACCTCTGACGCTGCTGCCTTGGGGACCAAGCCTTTGGGACATTCCAGATCTGAACTGTAAAACCTTATGTAGATGCATCTTGTGTTACAGGCCTCTGTGGCAGTCTCTGTCTTTTAACTGATGCATGATGTAGTGAGCTCTGACTCTTCTAACAAAATTCCATAGACTAATTGGTTAGCATAAATGACAAACATTCTGGTTGGGTTATTGATATTGGCTTCTCCACTTTTTTAAAAATAAATACAGGAAATCAGAAATAATCTGAGAATTTTATATTTCTACAAGGGCAGTACAGAATCTAGCTTTTCTCAGAATTCCTACATCTGTGTTTTGGGTAGCACCTTTCAGAACAAACCTTGAGAAATGTTTGAGTAAGGATGTAGTGTCATCTCAAATCAACCTCCAAGACTTGCCTGATGACAGTTCACAGTGGCAGAAGCGAATGTATTGTTATGAATTTGAGCATGTACAAAAACATACAGCAAGAACAGTTAGAGAAGTAAATATGCTTTTCTACCTAAGCATACAGACAGGTTTAGGATGTGGCTCTCTCAGTTCTGTGGACTGCAGGAAACACCGCTGCGCTCTGGCTGCAGTTTCCTCCTGTTGAACAGAGTGAAACTAAGCACCACTGTCCAGAGCTTGCTGCATTTGATCTCCTCCCACTTGTGCTCCCTAAGCGGGTGGGAGAGATGATTCCTGGTGTAGTTTCTCGGGCATGCCCAGCACTGCATCCAGGGGGGTCTTTCCCAGGCTGTCAGTGTGCTTTCCGTATGCAAGCATTCCACGTGTCCACACTCACTGTGCAAAATGTTCACCCACGTGGTGCACATGTAGTGGCGGCAGGGTGCCCTACCTTTGTGCCTGCACATAGTGGGCTTGCTTCCAAGCAGGAAGCAGTGACCTGTCAACCTATAACAGAAGTCGACCCAGTGGCTAAGAGTTGGGCAGAGGTGTTGAATATCCTCTTTATTTACCCCTGTCTGTTAGATGTCAGAACTCACACACATAAGTTGGAAATTACTGTTGTAAATGGTTGGGTTCTTGTCAGGAGCCTACCTGATTTTACGATTTTGTGCATGACCAGCTGAGACGTTCTTATAGGGCCCTTAGAGCTGTGTGTCTTGTTAGAGCTGTGTGTCTTGTTCTAGGCACCACACCAATCCAGTGGGCACAGAGTGGCGGTGGAAGATGGACCAGCCTGAGATGATCTTAAAGGAAGCTATAGAAAACCATCAGAACATGATCAAACAGTTTAAAGGTATGTATTGTCTACTGGGGAGTGCAAAGGAGAATCGCCCTATAGGGATTGATATGTCGTTGATATATGGTATGTATTTTGATCTTCACATTTGTATCCCATTTGATGGAACCCAAAGCTTAGCAACTCATAATGTGGCGTGCTCAGTCTCTAAGTTTTGCCTTGAGATGTACTATCATCGTTCCTGAAAAGCTTTGCTGTTGGCCTTATATATAAATGGAGTGGCAGTTCTAGGTCATTGGAAAATTCTTAAGTAATGTCTCATAGTATTGGGAAACCTTTTCTTCTTGTGGTGCTGGTGATAGAGCCTAGTATGTTTTGAGTGTTAGTCAAGTGCCCTAACCCTGAGCTGCATCCCCATCCTAGTGACAAAGCATTTTTGAATGGTATTATAAAAATGAGGGATTGATAGAAATTTCTTCTACAGAGTCCATAATGCTGCAGCAGAAATTCTGCTGCTCTGCCTCTCCAGTCTCTTCTGTGTCACACACAATGACATCTGATGTCTCCAGGGAGTACTGGTTCTCAGCACTATCATGCATCACTGTTACGGATGACCTGTTCAGTCTGGTGGCCCCCTAGAGATCCACTCAGCGAGTGTCAGCCGGAGCCCCATAGGGTTTGGTTCTTACATGTTCCCTGTGCTATTGAGACAGTTAAGTGGGGGGCCACACTTTAAAAACCACTGCTGTAGGTAGACATGACAAACTCATAGAGTAATGGCTTTATAAAGCAATAGTTGTAAATGATGAGTTAAACTTTTTTAGGGTTCCTGTCAAAAGAGTATATTCTTTTCTCCCCTACCATTAATGACACCTCTCCTCTATTCTCTTTTCCTTTCAAAGGCAATGATAAATAAAATTCCATGGTTTGGGGATAGAGTTCAGAGGCTGTAGCCCCTGGCTAGCAAACCAAACCTGAGTTTGGTTTGATTCCTGGTACCAAACAAAAAGAAAAGCAAAAAGAATCCAGCAAGGTCATTTTGATATAGATACTCTTAAGGAAGTAACAACATATGTGGGCATCTTTAGTAGTCTCAGTAATTAGCATTCTGAGATTAATCCATTCTTTCAAGGAATGCAGTTTTTTCTGGTTGGGTCACTCATTCTTAGGTTGCATTACTACTAATTACTGTTTTTATTTCTATCGAAAAATAAAGCATCCAGAATACTGTTTTACCAAATGTGTGGCTACCATGACCCATCCAGGTTGACTCATAAAATTAACCTTCACACATCATATCAGAAGCAGGAAATGGCAGGAATTTTATCTTTTATCTCCTAATAAGTTGATTTTTGGCTTGGTGCTTAGAGAGCCAGTTGAACGCTTCAGTGATGGGCTGATGACGGAGGAGGTGTTTCCTGGACAGCTCGGATCCCCTTGAGCGAACTGAGTCTCAGGCAGCCGGTGGTAGGAGGAAGCAATCCCAAGGAGCAGGTGTTCACCAGAGTAGAGACTTCCTGGGGAAATCTCCGTCCTGAGATGTTCTTATGTCTACAAGGACAGTCGGAGTTTAGATAGGAATTTTTCTGACAGGAACATTTTTGCAAATGGATTTAAAGTGGAAATAAGTCGCGAGTAAGTCGTGAAGTTGTGCACATCAGTCCGATGTGTTCATGAGCTCAGCGTGCTCACTCTCTCTGTGTGTGTACCAGGCTTGCTGGGGGCTTGCGCTGTGCAAAAGAGAGTCTGACTGGTGGCGTGGCTGACTTTCACCAGCTGGCATCTCAAATAGTTTCTCTTCAGGTCCCCATGATAAACAAACAAGGATTTCAAAACGCATAGGGGCTTGTGGGAGGGAGCCAGTGAAAGTCACTCAGGGAGGAAGAGCATGTCAGTGAGCAGGCGGGTCTTTGTAGGGGTTAGAATCTGTAAGGGGAAGCAAGTTATCACCAGGAATCCAACAACTGCCCCCTGATACTTTTTTTTTTTTTTTTTCACTAAAGATTGAATCCAGGACCTTTGTACTGAACTACATCTATTGCCCTTTTCTGTTTTTTAAATTTTGGGATACAGTGTTGTTAAGTTGCCAGGTTATCTGCACTGGGCTTCAACTTAGAATCCTTCTGCCTCTGCTTCCCAGAGTGTAGAATTTCAGGCATGTGCCACCATGCCTGGCAACAACCACCAAGATAATTCTTAAAAGTGGTATTTCTAGGTGCCAATTTTACTCAGGGGTTTCCCACAGAGGATTTTCTTTTTCAAACCATAATTGGTTCATGAGACGAAATTTTATCATTTGTTGTTTAAATCAACAGTAAGTAGGGCTGGGAAGTTAGCTCAGTGGTATAAGCACCTACCTGGCAAGTGCGAGGTCATGAGTTCCATCCCCGGTACAAAAACAAAACAAAACAAAACTCCAGTAAGTGTGACAGAAAGGCTTTCAAAATGGGAACTATTGATATTTGCAAAGTGATTGATGAGAAAATCCATTTTTCTTTTAATTAGTGGGGGGCACGGATGTGTTGGCAGGTGTCAGGTATAGCCTGGCTAGCACAGGGGCATAGGGCTGCCCTTTCATTTTGATTTTTTTTTGGTACTGGGGATTGAACTCACAACTGCGCACTTGTAAGGCAGGCGCTTATGCCACTGAGCTAAATCCCCAGCTCGCCCTTTCATTATATATTTTCACAGTGAGCATGCACTCTTTTAGCTTCCACCATGGGTTACAGTGGCCATTGTTTAATGCTTTGTACTTTATTCTAAGTTAAAATAAGCTACATTACTTTTTAAAAAATTGTCTTATTGCTGCAGTCGTCTCAGTAAATCTTACTGTGAAGCTATAGTATTTGAATTAATTATTGAATTAATTATTAAAAAGTGAGATAGGTAGTTATTCAACTCAAAAATTCAATTTGAAAAATTAGTTATTAAAAAGTGAGGTAGTTATTAATGGATAAAGTACTTAAGTGGTATAACTAATATATTTATCAGAATACTAAATCACTTCATATAATAAGTAACATCACTCAGTTACTTGTACTAGTCCTTACCAATGATTGTGGCTTTCTTCTTGTGAATCTAAGTTCCTCTTGCGGTAAGTGAAATCTGTACTCTGTCATTCATTCTTAGAAGATGGGTAAATAAGCAAGTAAGGTCACCTCCGCTCTGGACAGGTCGGCCTGTTGCCCATGGACTGTAGGCAGATTCCTCTTCCTCTTCTGACCCCAACATCCTTACCTGGCTGCAGGGCCTACGTGGGTACTGCTGGGTTCTTGCCTGGTACCAGGGATTGAACTCAGGGCCTTGCACATGCTAGGCAAGTGCTCTGCTACTGAGCTACACTCCCAGTCCTTTTATTTTAAACACGATTTTGCCAAGTAGCCAGGTTGGCCTCAAACCTGGGGTTCCCCTGGATGAGTCTTTCAAGTTGCTGCGATCATGGATGTGCAGGGCCGGGCAGGACCCACCTAGTGTTGAATTCTGAAGATGCAGGCTCGAGACTCTTAGATAGATCTCGTTTTGTCCTTGGCATCCAGACTCCTCAGTGGATCCGGGTCTGAGCAGTGGCTTACCTTGTGCCACCTCCTCGTGGACGCCTGGAGGAGTCTGCTTCTGTCTCTTCTCCCACTCCCATCGTGGAGTTTTCCTCACGAGAGCCCCGGAGTATTACCTGTGTCCCTTTGTGTCTTAGACGGAAACAACAAAAACCAAAGCAGAGATACGTGTTTGTAGCTTCCTTAGCCAAAATGTAGAGTACATTTTCCTACAGAAAAAAGTACTTGAATTGGATTAGGTGATATCAGAATAGATTTTTTAGTATTGTGCTTTAGGCATATAACAGATTAATTTGGTCATTAATTTCCATTTAAAAAATGTATCTGTGGAAATACACATTGTAGGCTTAAACAGAAATGCTTGAAACAGGACTCTTACAAATTGGAAAACATGGGCAATTTTCAAAGGCTCGAAGCCATTTCCTTCTTGGTTCATTATATAATGGATATTTCAACTTGGCCCTCTCTCCAAGATCCACCGTCGCAGCTCGCTGGTAATTTCCTTTGCTCCGGCCTGGAGTCCTGTGCTTTCTAGAGTGCTTCTCACTCTGGGGAGGCGCATCTGCTCCCTCATGGGTTCGGTTCTGTCATCCTGTCATTTTGTTTTGGAGGAGAGGACTGGTTATGAGTTGCTGCATACTGTCTCTGCATTTCCGGCTTTCGCTAAGTGGCCAGCTCTGGACTGATTTTGAAGATATCCTCTGATTTTTTTAAACGCTTTCCTTCTGGGTAGCTATTCTCTGTTCTGAAGGCAATCATTGTCCTTTCAGTCATTTCACGGCATCATTACAGTATCTTTCTTCTGGTGACCTTTATTAGCTTTCCCTTTATACACACACAAAATTAACTTTAGACTGATTAAAAGTGGGTCAGAATTTCAGCACAACTCAGCATCTTTTCAGAATGCTGCCTGCTCCGTCTAAGTCCTGTGGTGGCAGTGAGAAAGATCCCAGGGAATGATGCGGCAGACACCAGGCCCGGGAGCGCCCTGTCGCAGTGTCCTTGGTCCTGAAAATGCAGCGATGTAAAAGACTTCAGTTGTTGCTGGGTGTCTTTTTAGAATTTATACTTGAAGAAAAAAAAGAATAAAAGGCAGATGGTTTTCACAAACTATGTGTACAGAAGCATGCGCCACAGAGTGTGGATGAGGGGCACAGCGCCACCTGCGCACTGCATTCTGTGAAACCTCGCAGCGCGAAGTGTCTTGATCACACATATACAACTTCTGCCAGGAAGGGCTCTTGGGCACATTTTTGGCTAGGAACTATACTGTTAGAAGAAAGAGGAGAAAATTTATTGTTGGTAACCTAAACTTTAGCAGTAGGAATACTATACACTGAGCAATGTATCTTATTTCTTAATGTGTTATTATATGAGGTTTAATCCTGTGACATTAGGATATAAGTTTTGGACTCCTGAGAGTTCTTTTTTTTTTGGTACGGGGGATTGAAGTCATGACTGTGCGCTTGCCAGGCAGGTGCTTATGCTGCTGGGCTAAATCCC